AGTTTAGAAAAAATTAAAGCTTCAGTTCAAAATTTGTGGTCTAAGCCTTTTATGTACATAGGTATAAACTTTTATATTGTTCATTATAGTTTTTAAGATTTTATTAAAATAAATGCATTTACTAGTATTTACAGACTTGTGATTTTGAAATTTCTCTGTTTAAATGTTTTAATTTTAGAGATAAATGTATGAAATAAATTATGTGTCATTTTATTTTACTTTTATTGTTCGGGTGATTTAAACTACATTAATTCAACATTAAAATTCTTAATATTCACTTGATTATTAAACAACATTTTTTCAATTCAATATAAATAGTAGATATTACCAATTTAAAGTTAATTCTGTGATTCTACCTAACTGGTCTACTCTTTACGAATATAAGAAAATTCAAATATAAGAAAAGAAGTTCAAATATATAAGTATTTGATTTATAGAATAGTCGCTTTTCACTTCTCGAATAGACAATGTGAAAATTCGGTTACGGCTATATTTTACATACAGTTATTTTTTTTTATAATATATACTTATACTCGTAAGCTTGGTTGTGGGATGTGTGACAAACCCCCCACAGAACCTTCGCTCGGTTTCAACACTTTCTTACTGATCTAAATCAATATTTTTAAAAATAATATAAGAATTAAATTTCATAATTTTCAAAAATCGTAATGGGCCGTGTGTTTGACAAGGCTTATATAGACGTTACTTGATTTGAAGGCTGCCTAATTTAAGTCAATAAAAAAGTTTGTTTACTTGACTTAAATTGATAAAAATTGTTTGAAAGTTCTCGGCTTTTAAGCTGACATAGTAAAACGCAACTTGAGTTTAGACTTGATTTCAAGTTTAATACCGCAATATAGACGCGGTATGGAAATAAAGCAAATTATAAAGAAAAAATAAGTATGCATACTAATTTATACTTTATGAAATATACATATTACCGATACGTGTGTAAGTACTCGTACATTCATAAGAGATATTATTCTTTTAAACTTTTAAAGACAAGATTGAAATAAAAATAGAAATATCATAATTTATATTTATATCAATAAACGTATTGACAATTACTAATTACAAATTTAAATTTTTTAAAATTATTTGTCTTTTTAAAATTTATTTTAATTAATATTTGTTTTCTTTTTTAATTTATTTTAAATATATTTTTTTAATCATTTCGTTTTATAATGTGTAAACACTATTTTTGCCCTTTGTGCTGGAATGATTTGCAGAAATACTCTTTTGCAACTTTAAAATGCTTGATAATTTTCCCTACACTTCTTATATAAAAAAAATGCTTTTCTGCGCAAATACATTGTGAAAAAACAGTTAGACATCTATCGCATATTCTTTAACTCTCCCAAAAATTCACATGTGTATAAATGAAAATGGAAAGTATACTGCTTAATTTTTTTATCTGAAGAAATTTTTTGTATACAAATACTGGTTAGTGATTGCATCAGTGCGATGTAAACGCAGAGTTGAATTAATCATTAAAATAGATATGTTTTGGACAAAACAATAACTTATTTCTCTTTCACTAATACCTTCTCCCATTTGTGAAAATAGGTAACTCTTTTAAGTAACTCTTTTATTCAAAGAGATATGTATTCTCTTCAAGAATTTTGGAGTTTTTCACATTATTTTCAGCTATCATATTCTTTAACTCCTATAAAGACTCAAATGGGTATTTATTCCAAATCCAATACTCAACACAAAAAATATAGTACAAGATAGCAATTACATTGAAAATCAATACAAGTCAACTTCTATGTATACTTATCCCCACAAGATACAGAAATAGAATAATGTACAAAAATAATATAGTAATGTCTTTACATCTAACAAATCCCAATAGTCAATTTTTTTTACGACATATTACGAATTTTTGGCTTCGTTCCTGTTTTTTTCTTTAAATGCTACTGATCGTGTCGTATTTCTTATTGTTTTTTTCTTTTTTTACGCAAAAAAGAGTTTAATTAATGTCTTACAGGACGAAAATTTACATCAGTACCTACTACCTGTCATTTTACAATCGGAGTTTTTAAATCATTTGCTAAGATAATATTTATTTCAAAAATAAAAAAGTTATTGGAATCCGGTCATAAAAATATATTATTGTTTTTTTCCAAAACCTTTCAAATATTTTTTTACTTAGGTAATATATTAAGTTTTAAAAATTTTTCTCACAAATAGAGGTAAAATTTATAAGTGTAAAATTTTTATTTAAAGAATTATATTTGATCGTATTTTAGATATTATTTTCTAATTCACTCTTCAAATTTTTTCTTTACTACGTATTTATATCAATATTTAATAATTATCTTCCATTAATTATATTTTCAACTTGACACCACAGTTACTTCCCATATGTTGAGTTAACTTACCCTATGAGAAAAAAAGCTGTTCACTTAAAAATAATGAAATGCTTTCAGTAACATATAAAACATTGAAGGCGAAGGTTGTGCTTGTTGTCTTTCCGCTGTTTCAAGAATTTTAAAATAATTATGAATGAAAATATTAATATATTTTTTTGATTTTTCAAATATATTTTCTCAATTTTACCTGCTTTATAATAAGTGTTAATTTATTTTAATATTCTTCTCAAAAAATAGCCACTTCGATTTAAAAAAACCCATATAAAATAAGGTCGTGCTTTCAAGTTTCTCCCTGAGCATTGGGACTTGTTAGATATAAAGACATTAGTTACGCACTCAGCATACAACAGATTATCGTATATATTACACTGCATCGAAAATTGAATTCTCTCTATTTTTTTTTATATGAGAAAGAGGAGAACGGTATATTGTTTAAAATTTTGTAGCAAAGCAATAGAATTGTTATTTTTATTTTTTTTTTATTTTTGTTTTTTTGCTTTGAAAGACAATTAATAAAAGTGATGAATAATAATATTAATTTCTCTTGCTGAAATTGCTTTTATTTCCTTAAAATTGAGCTTAAGAAAGACTCAAATGAGTATTTATTCCAAATCCAATATTCAACACGAAAAATATAGTACAAGATAGCCATAAGACATTACATTGAAAATCAATACAAGTCGACTTCTATGTATACTTATTCGAACAAAATACAGAAATAGAATAATGTACATAAATAATATAATGCATCAAACTTCTTAAGTTTTCAAATGTAAAATAATACAATATGTAAAAAATAGGTATCAAAAATTAAAATTAAATTTTCTTTTTTTTTTAATTGTGATAAAATCGTGCAACTTTTATTTGATTATTTCAAAGAAACCCTTCTTGTTGATGTTTGTACTGTTTATGTTTAATAATTAACTAATGAAATTTGACGGTTATTACGTACATACATATATTATAAAGTTTTCAAAAGTTTTTTCAATATACATATAAATCTTATGGGACAAAACTGATTATCACAATGTTGTCAATAAACATGACATATTATTTTGCCATACACGTACATACATATGTTTTTAACGTATATAACGTTATATTACGTTTAACGTTAATTTTTATCAAAACTGTAAATACGACAAATAAAATAATTTCAAACACCAAAAGTTTATTCCGATTTTTATTGAACTAATTTCTTTAACGGCTAACTTAAAAGTGAAGTATTTTATTATAAATTTTGATTTTCGTAAAAAGCTCTACCTGTGTCCGTGCAACTATTGATTATAAGAAATTATGTTGGAAGAATTTTTACTTGATGAATATTTAGCTGATGCGTTATAAAATTAGTGTTGCGCGTGTTTACAGTTGTATCGAATTTCATTTCGCAACTTAACTTATGTATATATACAACATTTTGTGTAAAATATACAGAGTGATTTATTAAGCAGTGACATAAAGTATCATTTAGGACAAAGTATCATCATTTAGGGCATCAAAAATAAGTAAAATTTTTGTTCAGAAGTTGGTGTCAAATGTCAACGGTTTCTGAGGTACAGCGATTTTGAGAATTTTCACAAAATTTCTACTTGCTCAAGTTTTTTTGTTTATCAGTTCGTTTCCGAAAAAAATAGACGCTTTAAATAAACACTTTTTGAAAGGGCTAGTATAGCGTTTGAAAGCAACATATCACTTCACTTTGAATTTTATTTACTTTTGAAATATGGAACTTAATTCGAACTTTGGAAAAAATCTAATTTTTCCCTTTTTTTATTTTTTTGTTTTTCTCCAACCGGATAATTTCGTACGAAATTTTTTGAAACTTCAAATTTTTTTTTTATAAAATATATTATATTATGTCACTCATTAATGAATCACCCTGCATATTTATGTATGTATACGTATACATATTTTACATAATGTATAAATTTAAAAAAAAAACAATTTTTAAAAAACCTCGTTTGAAGATTATTCGACTTGCGATTAATCGTTAAATGAGGTAAATCGAGGACCTAGGGTAAAATATTTGAAAATACATATCATATTATTTTTTATATTAAGAGTGAATGCAAAATTCATATTTAAAATACCAAGCATTCGAACTGTAGAAAAATTCATGTAAAAAATTTTGTATATTTTTTGTTTTCTCTAACCTGATAATTTCATTATTTCTTGAAATTTTGAAAGTTTTTGTAGAATTTTGCCTAGCTGTTTAAATTTTTATGTTATAAAACGTTAAATTAAAGTGCATTTGAAAGGCTTTAATAAAATGTGGAAAATTAAATAATTGTCACAATTTTGATTTGTATTGATTTTTAGTGCTGCAATTATCAATTATTATTACTTTTTGATCACAATTGTCACTCTAAAAAGGAGTTGACATTTTTAAAAACGTATCCTATTCTGGCCCGAAATATAACCGTTTTCCACCGTGGTGGTGATGGCTTAGAAGCTTTTCTTTTTTTCTCATATCGTGATAATAACATCCCTAGCTCTGTGGTTCAAATACATTAAATTTTTTTTCGTCTGTACCTATGGAAACTTACACTGACAGAAGAAATTTTTACTCGTCAAGGTCTTTGTGGTCAAAAGACAGCAATCAATTTAATTAAAAATCCATAAAAATAACTTTAAAATTATTTATTCGGAATATTCTTATAATTTCACTTATAAGTTATGCGGCTTGAATATAAAAATAAAGCAAATCATTTTTAATATGACATAACTTTGAATTAAAATCTCTAGATAGTTTAAACCAAAAAACATTCAAAACTCATTAAAAATATCAACAATGTTTTGTTAGAAAATATTATTTTTACCAAATTGAATAGTTTATGCTATTAAAATATGCCTATCTAATTTTGTTTTAGTTTTTTCAATTAAATCATTAAAAAACAAATAATTGAGAATAAATTTTATATTTGTAGGAGTGGTTGTAATTTATGTTACTCGTTTTTAAACCTCCTTTAAGCAACCATCAAGCTCAGCTCCATGTTCCACATTCATGCTTCATATTTTTAAGCAGATTACACGCAGTTTCTATTGAGATTCTCTGCTGTTTGCTGATTTTTCATTTTTAAAAATTTTCTTAAAATATGCAGTAGTTTTTTGGCACTAAAAAGTGGAAAAAAAATATTACGAACTTTCATTCGTTTCAATTTTGGCATAAAATGCAGGTACTTTTAATTTTGATATTCAATCTTTACAACTTGCAAGATGCTTAAAAGATTGTGTAACAGGGCTTACAACAGGATCAGCAATCTTTTCGGATATGTTTACAATTTCTTCATTTATTATGCTCGACTTACTAATTGAGTTATCAAATTCTTTGTTGGAATTCGATTTTCCTGCTACGACTACAGGAACCGTGTCCAATGGCATCATTTGCTCCATTGAATTGATTTGATTGTATTCTTTCACCCCACATTCTCCAACAGGTACATAATGATCGTTAATTTCAATAAGATAAAGAATTCCGTTTATGTTTGAACGGAATCTTATGTCTGGATGATTATGCTGCCAATAGTGTCTTACATAACCAACCATTCCTTCCTGAGGAAACCAGCCTTGCCACGTTGAGCGTCCTCCATTTAAACGCATTTTTTCGTTAGGCCAAATAATATCAACCCTTCGTCCTAAATCTAAGCAATCATATATCTACGAATTTTAAAAACATTACTAAAGAATAGAATAAATTAAAATTAAAATAGTGAATTTAAATTTACCTCTAATCCATCTACTATAATGGCTTTGCGATTTAACGCTATTAATGGATGGCTTAAATTTTCTTGGAAGATATGTATTCGACAAAGCTTATCTTGTCCTTCTGAATTTTGAATTGAATAACTTTCACCGTGTTCATTTAATAATTTTGATTTGTCAAAATCGTTGGTCGCACAACGTTCAGTTGACCTAAGACTATTTGAATTTATGCTGCTAATATCAGAAGAATTAAAATTTTTATTGCAACTAATGGAATCCTTTACAGAATCCGAAAAATCAAACTTATTATGCTCGCCCAAGTAATTGCTTTCACTATGTCCTTTAGGTGCAAAATCATAATTACCTGTAAATTTAGTTGACGGTATAGGTAAGGTTGCACGACGATCTCTTTCTTTGTAGACACAGTTTGAATAATTTAACTTTTTTGGAACAATACTACTCACTCTACCATCGCGTGAACTTTCTTTTTCTGAATCTACATCTCGTTTTAGAAAAGTAGTTAAAATAGTAGAGCTATTAGGCTTATTAACACTTGCTAAACTGCCACGATTTCCAGTTCCTGATAAATTTGGGTTCCCATAGTTTAAAGTTCCAACAGTATTTGTTGTTGCAGCTGGTGAAAAGTAAGCTGCGGAAACTTCGTTAGTTGGATTTATTCCATCGCATTCCAAACCGCCACTTCCACTGCTACATCCTTCTCGACATCTTTCACGAATTTTGCGCCAACTTTCCAATGCTAAATTTTTAATGCTTTCAAATGTTATAGCCCCACCAATTATTCTACATATTTGTTCACTTGTGTCAGCGTAAGATGTTGTAAGTGGCGAAACATAAATGGGATACCCAATTGGTTGATCACAAGAAGAATTTATTATATTACGTAAAGCTTGCTTTGCATTTTGAATACTTCCTCTCTCCGGATTTCTATTTCGTAGGTAAATAAGTTCCTGTTGTTGACCTGCCCATAAACCACGAACACATTCCCTGTTTAGTTTTATAACTCGAAAACTTAGAAATCGCTTAGTGAGGCGAATAATTCTGTATTCATCCGAACCGTCTTCCATTACATGTCGAAGTGCTAATAGATTTGGAGCACCTCTTAAAACTGCGCTTCGCCAAATAGGATCTGCTTCATGGGAAATTACTAATTCCTTTGAATGACAAGACATTGCTTCATATAGAATTGAGGGGTCAAGATATTCATCAGGGCTGGAAAAGTGATCTTGATGAAGTTTTAAGGCCATTTTTACAGCTGGTGCCACTACTCCATGAAGAAGTTCCATATCAGCAAATACCTAGGATGAATGTAAGGAAAATAAGCAAAAATAAAAGATAATAGTATATGAATAAAAGTGTTTGTATATTAAAGAGCAATGGCTTTCATAAGCATAATTGGAAAACGATCCGTCCCTGTTTTCTGTTACAATTTCCTTTTTTTTTAACTGGTTTTTTGCTATATTTTTTTTATCCAAGTTATTAAAGCACTGGATTCATATATTTACGGGGATTTACCTAAAGCTTGGGACATTTGCTTTTACTGTGACTGGAAAATTGATCTGCATAATTTTTATGAAAACCACTACATTTACAGATTGTTTTTAAATTACCCATTCGTCTCGTGGTGACGTTATTCGAAAGTCACCTTTGAACAGAGCATGCAAGCCATGTAAAAAGAAATCAACGCCAGATAGCGAACTATGACTCGCTGTTGCTAGCGAACGCCTTGCTAGAAGACTTAAGGCGAAACAAAGTGAAATTAGCGGAGACTCTTTAGAAATACCGTTTCCTAATTCGGAAGCTTCAGTCTTTGCATTATTGTGTAATACAGATTTAAGAGGATCTGTGTTAACTCCAGTGCCAAATTTTAGTCGCCTTTTATGTACTTTTTTTCGACACCTAATGGCAGTACGACTCGTTGGTAAAGCTGTAGGTTGCTTTTCAGGTGATTCACTTTTTAAATCAGAAACATATAAATTTTTGGAATTTCCTCTATCTGTTATGTCTGGTAATAAATCACAATTACTGGTTTCACAAAATTCTTCCGATTTTTTGAATTTTCCTTCATGTGAATCATTTATTTTCAAGTTGTTATAAACATTGTGTGAATTTCTTTTTATTTCTTCAGACTCTTCCCCCGTTTCTTGCTTTACTTTTTCATTAATTGTATTTTTATCCAAAATTTTATTGTCTTCTTGGTTTTCCTTTAAAAACCTTTTCCCTTTTAAAGCTTCTACAGAATTATTATTAGCTCTTATACTTTCAGATTCATTTTTAGAATTTGGGATAATGTCTGTTGAAGGCAGATTAGTGGAAAAAGAAGAATCTTTACGTTTCTTATAACATAGTTGTATCCAATTAAGATATGTAGAACAAAAGCTTGAACGGGTGATCCCCAATGCCCGAAAATCAAAATCTTCGTCTAAATTATAATTGAATATAGGATCCAAGTCAACAAATTGTCTACCCAATGTAGAAGAGAGTGAATCTTGTATGGCACCGGATGCCAGCCATTTCTCTAATTTTGAATTTTTTGTTACGTAATATACAATACTCTGCAAAATAACGTTTATGGTTTATTAGTTTTTTTTAAATCGGTTATGTCAAAATAAATTTACTTTTATATAATATGTTATTAAAACTTTTCTAAATTCAAAGGGCTGCAACGTTGCAGTAGCTAAATTTTCAGAAATGGAATAACCTTCCAAAACGTATTGGGCGGCTACTACTTGCCATGCCAACCATCTAGTTGAGAACATTGCATTCGCACTTAACATTTTCGGAATATGTCCAGGATTGCAGCAACAACATGCATCATTGTCCTCCACTCCTTCTGAAATTGCTTCGACCTCTCTCTGTTGACAATAAGTTCCACGGAATTCGAGACCCCTCATTTGAAAAGTGCATAATCCGTTTCCTAGTTCCACTATATGTACTAAACAGTTTAAATAATCTGATGCCAGAACTAAATCATGTAAAATAAACAAGTTTATTTTAATATAAGATGAATAAAAAATGTAATGAGGTTACCAAAACAGTCACCCTGATTAACATTTCCCCAACGACCTAAAAGTAAATCACCACAAAGAGAATGTTGCAAAGATCTAGTTAAGTGTTCATAAAAAATGCTGTTCAAATTATTGTCGTCCGCACCTAAATCTCTTTCCAGTTGCGAGCTTAGGCGTGTATTTGAATGATCAATTCTACGTGTATTATAATCTCGTTCCCAAAATTTTATTGGTCGAACATAGGATGTTAAAAAAATAGCACTTCCCAAAAATGGATTAAGTGGTGTGGATAGTATCGAACTGATGCCAGCTTGTAAAAATAACATTGCTGAATGTGGTACACTAAACGGTTGTGCAAAAGCGTGAAAGGCTGATCCCCATGTTATTTGCCAAGGCGCTATGTAAGTAACAATAAATTGCAGCTACAAATAAAAAATAAGTGAAGAATAACGGAATTCATAATACTATTAATTTTTAAGAATAATCGCATTTTTTACCTTTAAGAAAAAATCGCACGACTTCTTGAAAAGGATTGAAATTACAAAAAAGTTTATGACAAATGTTTCGTTAGCGTAGTTAAAATCAAGTTTAAATAATAACACGGAGAATATCAATATCAAGTATTGACTAGCCGGATCCGAGTATGCGTTCCTCATGCCTAGCATCGAAATTTATTCAAAATTAAAAAATTTCTCTATAATATTGAAACTGATACATATATACATATTAGTTCTGTCCAAGATATATAATTCATTATAATACATTATGACACATTATAATGAAACCTGTTCAAGATAGAAATTTGAGAGAAATATGTGAGTTATTAATAATTTTTTTACAGGAGAAAAATATACCATGTAAAAAGTTTACAGGAGAATTTTATCTTGGGCAGACTTACATATTATGTTTATATATAATATACACCTCGTTTAGTAGTAAAAATAAAGTTTTAGAACTAAATTCAGAAGTAAGTACTTTTGGTATATCAAAAAATTTTAAGTGATCTCGTAATTTTTTATCTCGTTATTTTTTACTTAAGGTTAAAAAAAAATTTATTATAATGTTTAAAAACTAGTGTCCGTAATTTTTTTTATAGGTTTTAAAATTAATTTTAATTTGAAATAAAATGTTTTCACAAAACAGTATTAACATTTTTTTTTAGATAAAGACCGCATTTTTTTAACTTTTTCGAAAAATTTTTACGCTTTTGCTGGAGTATTACTTTGTGATGTTATTGTCTATGTTGAGCTAGAAACTTTTGTTTTCCCGCATTCAAAAATAAATTTTTTTGTTTCAAATAAATTTCTGATTTTGTATAACCAGTGATGCTATTTTGGTGATTTTGTCGGTAGATTTCGCGTCTTTTTAACCTCCACAACGAAGAGTCAAATGAAATTGAGACAGTGACTTTTTTAGTGATTTTTGAAAAGATTTTTAGTGACATTAAATGACTTTTAGCGATTTTTTTGTTGTTCTTTTCATCTAATTTCAGTTTTAAAATTGGACAATTTTTTCATAGTATAGTTAGCACTTTTCCAAAAAATTTTTGAAAAAAAGTGCTTATTAGTTTCATTCTGTCCGTCCGTCCGTCCGTCCGTCCGACCGACCGTCCGTCCGTCCGTCCATCCGTCTGTCCGTCTGTCCGTGTGTCTGCTTACAAAACTTCTACACCCTTGAAGATAGAAAGCTGAAATTTTGTACGTACATAGATCTTTACTAGAAACTTATTCCCGTAGAACAAAATTTTTACCTATCTCCCCCCCTTTATTAGTTATATCTCCTCAAAACCCTAAAAATGGTCTTTTTTAACTAATTGTTGCAATGAAACCACAAGCATTTTTGAAATTTTGCAAACGCAGAAAGGCAGTGGCTTGCTTCCCCTAGCGCGGTATACTATAGTTAATTTTAAGAAAAACAAAATGGCCGTTCAAATTTACCGTTATCAAAAGTCTTTTTTTTCCAAATTTTTGATTTCGTTTTTCTTTTAGATCCCAGCCTGTAGAAGCTTGAAATTCTAGGGGCTTTTAGATATTAACAATGTTACAGCCTGGAAAAATGGCCGAAATTGCAGATGAATTTCTAAGGTATAAAATTAATATTGCTGCATTACAAGAAATAAGATTTGGTAGTGAAGGAGAAATAAGAAAGAGAAATTATTCGATATTTTACAGCGGTGCAAATAAACCCAGACATAAGGGAACTGGGTTTTATGTCGATAAAAAACTAAGACAGAGTATAATAGAATTCGAACCAATAAATGAGAGAATGTGCTACATCAGACTGAAGGGTAAATTCCAAAATTTATCAATACTGTCGGTATATGCACCAACTGAAGATGCCGAAGAAAATAACAAAGATCATTTCTACGATAAATTAACGGCCTACTGCAACAAAATAAGCAGACATGATATGCTAATTACTATTGGCGATTACAATGCGAAAATAGGCAAGGAATATTTTGTAAGAGAAGTTGCTGGACAACATTCTCTACACAATATCAGTAATAACAACGGTATTCGCGCATGTAACTTTGCTGCAAGTCAAGGAATGTGGATTAGCAGTGTTTCCTTTCCACACAAAAATATACATAAGGAAACCTGGAAAATACCTGGAATGAGAGGTGCTAATCAAATTGACCATGTTATGATCGACAAAAGACACGCAACTTCTATAGCTGACGTTAGATCATACAGAGGTGCGAATTGCGACTCAGATCACTACTTAGTTGTTGCTAAAGTACATCAACGTATTTCAAATGTGAATGGTAGAAACAACTTCAAAAGAACTATATGGAACACAAGCAAAATTATTGAAAGTACTTCAGAACGCCTAAGATTTCAGCAAAAAGTAGAAGAAAAGATTAATGGAAATCAACGTGAAAACGAGACTAATGTATCTGATAAATGGAACAACATGAAAAGTATACTGAGCCATGCAGCAAATGAAACAATCGGCAAAAAAATCAATAACACAAATGAATGGTACGATCAAGAATGCAAGCAATTGAACGAATCGAAAACGCAAGCTAAAAGGAAATGTTTAGGTGCACCAACGAGACAAAACTTACAAGACTACCAACAAAAAAGAAAAATCGCTAAGAAAGCGATAAGGAAAAAGAAAAAGCAGTACATTAAAGAAAAAATTGAAGAAATAGAAAACGATTTTAAACAAAACAAAGTAAAAAATATGTACTCAAATATTAAAAAACAAACAAAGAAATTTCAGCCCCGAATAAACATATGCAAAGATAAAAATGGAAATATCATAAAAGACAAACAAAAAATCATAACAAGATGGATGCAGCATTTCGGCGAACTCCTGAACAGCGAAAATGAAAACGAGTTTGATAATGATAATAACAACCATGATACAATATTATACCGAACGGTCGAAAATGTGATGGAGCTACCCACACTTAATGACATTAAAAAAGCTTTAAATAAGCTAAAAAACAACAAAAGTGGAGGTGAAGACTCTATCACTGCAGAATTATTAAAATACGGCGGTACAAAAGTAATTAGTGAATTACATAGCATAGTATGTCAGGTATGGCAAGAAGAGACCATACCACAAGAATGGCTTACGAGCATCATAATTCCAATTCATAAGAAAGGAGACAAGACAATATGCAACAATTATCGTGGTATATCACTATTAAATACTGGATACAAAGTATTCACAAATGTATTATACGATCAAATTAATTTATTTGCTGAAGAAATATTGGGTGACTATCAGTGCGGTTTCAGACAAAATCGATCTACGACAGACCAATGCTTTATACTGTGTCAAATCTTTGAAAAATTTTTTGAATATTCCATTGACATACATTGTTTGTTCGTGGATTTTAAGCAAGCGTTTGACAGCATAAATAGGTCAAGAATAGAGCAAATTCTTCAAATTAATGGCATACCCAAGAAATTAATTAAATTAACAATGATGACACTTACAAATACAGTTGCCAAGGTACTTATTCAGGGAGAATTATCAAACTCGTTTGAAATAAGTTCAGGCGTAAAACAGGGCGATGCACTATCGTCTTTAATTTTTAATCTTGTGTTAGATAGCGTTGTTAAAGATGTAGATCCCGGCGGTACAATATTCAATAAAAGCGTGCAAATATGTGCTTATGCCGATGACATCGTGATGCTTTCAAGAAATCTGAACGACTTGAAAGAGACTTTCGAAAAACTTGAAACGACAGCTATAACAATGGGGTTAAATATAAATACAGACAAAACAAAGTATATGCTTCGAACCAACAATAAATCCCGATCACCACAGAATTTAGTAATCAGTGGTCGTGAATTTGAAGCGGTTAAGGAATTTAATTATCTTGGCATGTTATTAAGTTCTGATAAGGATACATCAATTGCCATATTACAACGAATTCAATCTGCAAACAAAACATATTATGCCCACAGAAAACTACTGCACTCAAAGCTTTTATCAAGAAACCAAAAATTACAAATGTACAAAACACTGATAAGGCCGGTTCTAACATATGGATGTGAAATTTGGACATTAAAATCTACCGACATCAGTGCACTTGCATCGTTCGAAAGAAAAATACTTAGAGGTATATATGGACCAATAAGATCTGACGACGGTTCTTACCGAATTAGGTATAATCACGAAATCGAAAATTTAATAGAAAAGCGAAATGTAATTAGGTTCATAAAAGCAGAAAGAATTAGATGGCTGGGACATCTATTAAGAATGGATGATGCAAGAGCAGTTAAAAAAGTTTTTGAAAGAGTGCCTGAAGGATATAGGAGACGTGGCCGGCCAAGAAAAAGATGGATCGAAGACGTAGAAGCAGATTTAAGATCAATGACCGTCGTTAATTGGAACAATCTTGCAAAGCAGAAAGATCAATGGCGGGCGGTGGTAGCAGAAGCTATGGTTCACCCCGGACTGTAAAGCTAAGATGATGATGATTTAGATATTAACAAATAGTTCATTTCATTAGAAGAAATTTTTTTTCCATCTCCACCCCCTCTCAAGTTATCGTCTCTTGAAATTTGTAAAATTTGAAATTTTGACACCTTATATTTCCGAAACCGCAAGCTTTTTCAAATTTCGATAAACACAGAAAGCTAACGGTAAATTCCATGATATTAAAAAATATAATTATTTTTCTTAGCTCACACAATTAACCCTTAAAATCGAGCATTATGTTAACCCCTCTTTATATTAATTTTTGCTTTATTTCAAAAACTACAAGTATGCATCATTCTAAATATATGCAATCCTAGAAAGAGCTTTGTATATGAATGAAAATAGTTTTAATAGTGTGATAGGTATACATAGACTGTATTTAAAAGCAGAATTTTCACTTGCTGAAGGGAAAAGTGCTACAATACAAACCATTGGTTTGACCCAACTTTATTTTATTTTAAGTACAATAATTGAAAGTAAGTATATTTACATAATATTATTTTTAATGGAATCTCCTGGATATAAAGTAACGGCGTAAGCTTATCTTCAATAAGCCCTCCTCCCAATCCAATGGTATTATATGACCCGTGCCTAGTGGGATAGTTGGTAGCCAGGGTTATAATGGCTGTCGCCAACGAAGTCTCTTTGATATCGGGTTACCTTAGAGGGCATTTTGACCTTACTATGTCATGTGTAGGGGCTACTCTTTTCATAGTT